TCCCAATTAGTTAAACAGTTTAAGTGAGGAAAATGGTCTATGAACAATAAATGAAAGAAGATTGAACTCATAACGCTGGCTGTAAAGATGCGATGCACTAACTTGTTTTTAAATATTTCTGACTCTTCAAGATGAAAAGTGGTTTATATATTATATATTTCATGCATCTTATTGTACCTTTGTCCTCATGATTTCCTGGATGGCAGCTTCAAACTGCAGCGAGTTGTTGTAGTCGACCGTCATGACGTGCGGTCTGCCGATGTACTGCTCTGCATAAGGGTGCTGGGAGAAAACCTGCAGGAAAAGCATCAAATATTAAACACATTGAATATTGTCAGTTATTGTAAAATGCTCTTTCTAAAAGCCTGTCACAGTAGGAACAACTAACTATGATCAAAAGCATTCAAAGCACATCTCCAGTTCTCACAGATGAAACTAATTCTGCAGCAAAGATTAAAAAAATACAGAAAGAAACTCGTTCCTAACTGCGGTTTGGAAGGAAGAGTCAGTGATGATGTCACCTGTCGAGATGTAGGCTTTCCTCGGAAGAACTCATGATTCAGTGAGCTGTGGGGGGGCTGGAACTTAGGCTGCAGGAAGATGCAACCATTGGCTATGGCTTCAAGAGGGGCGGGGCCTTCATATGGAAACCCAAAACCAATAAAGAGCTGGGAATAAAAAAAACAACATATTTATGAGTTTATGAGCTCATTCCAGAGAATGTTCTGTTTAGGAGATGTTTTCATTATAAATATTCTGGATTACTTTTAATCTGTGGGCCCTGATGGACGAATGGAGTAAAAACAACTGAAAATTGGATTTATAAAACGGCAGTACCAGCCGGTTGCTTAGGGCCCGAAGTTCCTGGGGGCCCCATAAGTCTTGGTTTCCATGTATGCTTTATAAAGATATTCCTTATTTCTGCTCATTAATTATGTTTTTAATATAAATGTTTTTGCTAAAATGCCATCAGAACGCTGATAATATTAAGTGTGTCTCAGCCCCCCCCCTTCAGTGTCCACCATATTGGATCAGTCCATTTGCTGCACATGTTCAGAAAGGTCCAAACAGACAGCAGCAAATGGGTCTGTTTCATGTGTCGTATTCTGAGTGCAGAGGGCCCCCTTCCTGTCTTTGCCCGGGGCCCCGAATTTCCTAAATCCGTCCCTGTTTCTAAATCTGGTGAATGAAAAGAAAACTTGTGGATTAAAGGAACCAGGAGGTGAGAATGTGACTGATAGATAAAGGAGGGAGGTCAGAGCCTCTGTGGCTGCTTGCCTTGGCCTTACGGAGCAGCTGCTGCAGTTCATGTTGGGGCAGCAGCCCGTGGTTCTTCACGAAGGCCGGGACCTCCGGGGGCCTCTGGGTCTCATAGTAAACCGTACCGTGGACCTCCATGTACCTGTGAAGGATCTCCAGGAAACTCTCTTTGCCCTGCTGGAAAAAAAAGAAAAACTGGTGATATCAAAGATTAGCGCTAAAACCACCAGTGAGCGGAGAACGATTAAAGAGTCTGAGAGCAAGTAAACCGATCTGAGCCTGTTTTCTTTTATCTGTGTGTGAGCCGTCTCTGTGTGTCAGCCTCACACATCTCAATACGTCTGTTTCTCTCAGCATCTAACGCCGTATTTACTCTCTGCAGAAAAAGACGTCTCTGTGATGCAGAAACAACTTGTGTTCACATTAGCATATTTTCTGATCCAGTAAAAACCAACAGAGAGTAAAAACATGTCTCCTCCTCTGAGGAGGAAATAATAAAGAAAAACAGAGCAGGCATCCATTGGCATGGGGCTGCAGGATAGGCCAGAAGCTTCTGGTTTAATATCTGTTTTAAAGGGAAACTATACAGAAACACTGTTTACAGCTGATGATAAATGGCCCCAGTTTTAGAAACTCTATAAGAAAACATCTAAGACGAACCTGGAGGATATTTCCAGGGGTGTGGGAGGCAGATAAAGCCCCCCTTAGAGGGTCGAATATTATAAACAGTAGAAGATTAAAACTTTGTTAACTTTGCAGCAAACATTAAACAATGCCTCAGGAATCTGTTTTAAAACCAAGACCTTTTATAATGACTAATTAAATAAACATTATTACATTCGTATGTTAACATCACTGTTT